CTCGTGAGGAGGCGTAGCGTCCTTGAACTGAACCCTGCTGCCCACTAGCGAAGGGAGAGGGGGACGGCCGTGTGGAGACTGGGTCTCGTGCACCGCCATCCTCGCCCTCTTGGAACTTGGAGGCAAAGGAAACTGCTCTTCTATTGAAGGTTTGGGTACCTTGGTGAACAAAAACAAACGGAAACATAAGCTTCTCCACCCGGCCCTCCTCCTGGGGAAGGAGTGGTGCAGTCACCATCTCCTGAAGAGCAGGATCCAAGAGCTCTGGGTCGCCTGTCTCAGGGACGCCGCCTGCTCTGGCGCTTCACGGGCTTGGCAGGGGCAGAGGTGGGCTGCGCCGGGTTTCCTGCAGCCAGCTCCACGCTGCGGCCATTGTGAAGGCTGCTGTTGTGGCCACGCCAGAGCGGTGGTGGAGGCCGCAGGAGGGTGCCCTCGGCGATGAGCAGACAGAGGGGCTGCAGCCGGCGGTGGGGTGCAGACAGCAGCAGACCGCCGGGGCAGGATGTGTCGAAACGCCTCCGTCTGCTTCTGCGCGGCAGAGAACTGTTGGGCAAAGCCCTCCACCACTTCGCTTAATAGGCCGGCCTGGGAGATCGGGAGTCCAGGAAGCGATGCTTGTCGGCCTCCCTCATATCCACCAAGGTCAGCCATAGGTGGCGCTCCTGGACCACCAATGTGGACATCGTCTGATCCAGGGCCCGCGCCGAGGCGCCCGTCGCTCGTTAAGCTCTTTTAGAAATTGCTCTTTTAGAAGGAAACACACTCTTTTAGAGAGAGCGCTTAATGGAAGCTGCAGCCCGCCGAGGTTTCAGCAGCCTGGATGGCAACCCCCGCTGATACGCCGTCACACCAACGCCAGCTGTTTCTCTAGAACACTCGTGGAGATTTGTCCTGTAGAAGGCTCGGCTCCGAAGCAAAAAGCTGATGTGCGTTTGCACGCACTCTCCTTTTATACGGCTGCGGGGCGAAACACGCACGCCAACTGTCATTGGCTTGTTTAGTTAACACTCGAAGGTGATTGGGCTCTCGGGCGAGATCCCAATTCGTCAGTCACGACTGACGTAATGTAGAACGTGACTGACTGAAAGGGAAAGAGCTTTCCACACACAAGGACAGAAGAGAGATTAGATTTTTTTTTGTTAAACAACAAAGCATATTCAGCACAGGATTTCCCCCCCCCCCTGTATACTCCACACTACAAACTGGGACATATAGCATGGTGTCATTATGAACTACTGCATGAGAAAGATGTGAAAATCATTAGACAAACTCTTGGAGCTGGAGTGATCACAGGAAAGAATCTGCAACTGGAGCCTCAATTCTTATAAGTAATGCTTCTTAAGCAGCAAATCGGTATATTAGTGTGATTTCTTAAGTATCATGTGACAAGACTTAAGGGTAAATTACCCCATTAAATATGTAGATAAACTTGGTTGTCCACTGTGAAGGTTAGAATGAGAACCAAAAAATTAGTATGACTGTAATGTCATGATGGTTTGTTTCAATACAAAACTAGTATATTGCAAGAAGACACTTTTTTTAATGACTATTTACAGCAGGGTTTCTCAACTCTGGCCCTTGAGGTCCACTTTCCTGCAGTTTAGCTCCAACCCTAATCAAACACACCTGAACAAGCTAATCAAGGTCTTCAGGATTGCTAGAAACTTACAAGCAGGTGAGTTTGATCAAGGTTGGAGCTAAACTCTGCAGGAAAGTGAATCTAGAGGGCCAGAGTTCAGAATTTCTGATTTACAGTAACCCTTATACATTCTAAATGCACATTGACAAAAAAAAGTACTTTAGACAGATATGATATAACAACAATAATGAATGACACATTAACAGCATTTAACAAATATCTACCAACAAAAAAGCACAATGCCACAAATAATCTGATTACTTGGTGGAATATGTAGAGGGCTGCATGTGCACCAGTGACTTCATTCGCATTCACATGCACAATTCAGCCCCCTTACAAATGAAGAAACTTGCTGTTAATATTTAATACATGGCAAATAAATAATTTTCCTATAAATAATTGCCAGAGGTTCGCAGTTCTTCATCCGTATTGAACCTGCAGCAAACCTTTGGCAACAACAAACAGTTTGATAATACTAGCAAACCTTTGATGAATATTTGTCAGTGCTGGCAAACAGTTATAGCAAAGCTGTGGTGATAATGGGCAATCCACTAATCTAATGGAAACTCAGGGAAAAAAATTTTTACCCCTTTTTCTCTCCATCACCATGTGCCGTCGGGAATTAATTTATAGAATTTCACTGTTGAATAGCTCACAAGAGGGATTTGCCAGAACACTATATTTTTGGTAAAGGTCACTCACAGTGCTTCTCTGTGTGACAGTTAAAACCAAAGTGTTTATCAACTTTGACCCTAGCCTATATGCTCAGTGAAATGTTACCCAAAAAACGAATAGGGCCGTGGCCTCTCTGCTAATGAAATGGGTACTTGCGATGGTGAACACATTCTCTTCATTACCTCAACAACTCTCACTGATCAGTCAGTCAAGGTCTTATCTGTAATTTGCAACAGGAATAGACACATGGACTGAATATAACATTCCTAGACTGCCATAATTACCTGTGGTACGACTGAGAGCTTTGTGGTTGTTATATATACGCATGACAAAAATGGCTTCCAGCTATAATGAAACTCAATAAAGGGATAATTCCTGTCAACATTTCCTCACCCTCATGTTGTTTCTAAGCATGTATGCATTTCTTTCTCCTGCAGAACACATTCAAGAGGAGTTTCAAATCACACGTTTACAGCAATTAACAGCAACACGTAGGCCTAATTAACTAACAATTAGCCCACTCATGGCTGTGTTCTACTTCAAATTTTGTATGGCCTTCCCTCACTAAATTTGCTTCATCTTGTGGACTTATTTTGTGTGAGTGGCCACGTCTGCTTGAACCCGTGCAATGAGTTTAAATGGAATGCCCTGAGCCCTTGATCACTTGGAATCCCTTGCCCCTCATGTAAAGCTTATTAGATAACTTGGAAAATGTTTGTGTGTGTGTGTGTGTGTGTTTCCCTCAGACACAAACATAGAAAGGAGCATGAGGGATGGGGGGAAGTATATTTTTTAAATTGCATTATTATTATGATGATGATGAGGATGATAATGATTCTGTGTTCAAAGTTAAAAGCCCTGATCACACTAATACATTATATCATTAAATATTTTAAATGTATTAATCAATGTAACACAGTAGTGGCAGTAATGACAGTAACCAAGCGAGAACTTTAAATTTAAAGTTATATTTACAACATTTACGTATTGGTAGGGAAATCACCATGTGCACATTTGGGCAGTCCCTTCTTCCCCTCAGTTTTTTTTTTTTTTTTTTTTACAACCAGTAATTTATAACAATAATAAACTTTTTTATATATATAAATTAATTAAATAATAATAAAAAAGATAGATAACAGTGAATGTCATAGAAGTGGTACACCCATCTGGTGTACCACTTCTATGACATTCACTGTTATCTATTCATCTAATGGCATGATTTTCAGGCACCTGGCCACAGAAATAAAATAATAAAAGCATTTGTCATCATGTTTTGAAAATGAGGCAGGAACAAAAAAACAACAATGCAGAACATTATTTTTTAAGTGTTTTACTGTTCTGGATCACATAGCACAGGGTATTGGAGTTCTATGTTCTTGGACATTTGCTTATCGTTCTGTACTTTCCTCTTAATCTGTGTGGTGAAAATCCATAATAGGGTATAGCTAAATGCCCGAAGAGAGATGACCAGTCCCAGAAATAGGTACCTGATGGGGGTGAATTACATTTTATTATACATTATAGGGTTTATGTGCATTCATATTAGGGCTGCATAGAATTGTCCTGCTAGATCTGCTCACCTGAAAGTTTCAATGTCATACATTCTGCATGCACCTCTTCCACCACATTTATTTTGGCCCCATTTCAGACAGGTCGAGTCAATAAGAGCTCCAAAGCAAATGGGAGCAGGAATACCACCTTTAAAAGAGAGATATTACATTTAAAACAATTATGTGGCTTAATGTGTGTCTAAGACAAGAAAAATATAAACATCTGTCAAAAATATTTGTAACAATGTTTTGCGCTATTATTATTAGCAAATCCAAACATCAACTTACCAAAAATTCTTAAAACTAACAGAAGTATTCCCACTGAGAGAGACTTCAGCACAGGATCCACAATCCTGCAAGAACATATAACATACAAACGTTAAACATTTCACAAAAAAAAGTTTTAAAAAATTATATATATATGTTACAATCATCCATACAATTACCACATTTTATTTTTAAATAAAATAATACATTCTGTATGAAGTTATTTATATAAGTTAATTTCTGGCCTCAATGCATTGTGAGTAGGGTTTCCAACCTCACAGCGTGTTTGTTTGTTTAAACACTGAAGGTTGTACAATATGTGAAACTGAATCAAATACAATAAATGCAACTGAAAATATGGAACAAGCATATGGAGCAACTGCATGACAATATGATGGAATCAAATTAAACAGCACCTCAATGAGATGAGGAAGAAGGGAACAGTGCCCAGACAGTACACAAAGAAGGAGAGAGACTGCAGTGCCAGATAGATGTAGAACATTTTAGAGCAGCTACTCTCTCGCGAACACTGTCCAAGCACTGCAGAGGAATTCCCAGAAGTCAATCCCCAGCTCTGGATACATGTACAGCCATGGAATGTCTGACAAACATGTGTAAGTAAATAAATAAATAATGAAAAAGAAAGTTAAAAACAAGTAACAAATAATTTGTTGTCAACAGTTAAAAGCAGTTGTTCACCATATTCTGTCTTGTGCCCCAAGTGGAATTGCAGCCAGTGTGACAAGGAGAGATGTAGGTCACTCCATTCTGTCCACACACTGGATCCCATAGGAAGTCGGGACACCCACAGTCAGCATTGCAAGAAGTGAGTAAATCACGGCTTATATCTTGAACTTCAATAGATCTGCCACATAAACAATTTATTATATTACACTGTATATTCCTGTGACCCTATGTAGGACAAGCAGTTTGGAAAATGGAAACATTTAATGGATAGAAAGTGTATATATTCCATGATGCAATAAGATTTATACAATGACTATAAATCGAAATAAAAAAAATACCCTTGATAGGGCACTGTGACCCCAGCGACATCTATGTTTTCACAGCTGAGAGCAAAGTAAGGTATTATGCAAATCAATGAGGTTTCAGAGGTGAAGAACATCAGTCTTGCAGATCCCAGCAGACCTAGTTTAAATCTCTTGTTTATCCAACCACTCAGGAACATACCCAGAGCCACTGGTGGAATAGACGTCACTCCTGTACATATAAGCACAGCTAGTTTAAACAGCTGTTAAAAAAAAATAATAATAATAATTATAGCAGTTGTTACCTATGAGAAAATTGGTCTTGGATGTGCTTTGTCCAAACTGCTGCTCCAAATACTTTGGCGTGTATGTTATGACAATGGCAAAAGCATTGAATGCCAATACACTGTAAGCCAGGTACAAGAGATAGATCCCATTGGTGAGCAGACGCTTTAGAGATGGCCCAAAATCTAGAAAACAATCAAATAAGCATCATTTTCAACAATAATAATTTCAATCTTCTTTAGTTTCATACACTGTTTTGATCTGTGATATACAAAATTTGAATTTATGGAGAATCTCTTGGCCGCCTTTTGAATATAAAATTATATACAGTGCCCTCCATTAATATTGCCACCCTTGGTAAATATGAGCAAAGGTGGCTGTGAAAATAAATGTGCATCGTTTAGCTTTTTGATCTTTCATTCAAAAAAATGCACAGAATTCTAACTTATCATTGAAGTAAAACAATGGAAAGTGAGGGGAAACTCACATTATGAAATAAATGTTTTTTCTCCAATACATGTTGGCCACAGTTATTGGAACCCCTAGAAATTCTAATGAGTAAAATATCTATGAAGTACAGTGGGTACGGAAAGTATTCAGACCCCCTTAAATTTTTCACTCTTTGTTATATTGCAGCCATTTGCTAAAATCATTTAAGTTAATTTTTTTTCCTCATTAATGTACACACAGCACCCCATTCATTTTTTTTTTTTAAAGCACATCAGGGTGACTAGGAGCATGAACTTGTCCTGCCATGACTTCCTGTTCCAAAGGATTATAAATATGAGGAACATAAATGCCAAATTCCCTTAATCATACATCACACGGAGTAAAACCAAAGAATATAGTTCTGATGTGCAGGACAAGATTGTTGAGCTTCACAAAATACAAAGTAGCTGTAAGAAAATAGTTGAAAGCATTGAAAATCCCAATTTCCACCATCAGGGAAATAATTAATCAACTAAAGATGTTACAAATCTGCCTGGAAGAGGACGTGTGTCTATAACGTCCTAATGCATGGTGAGGAGGAGAGTTTGAGTGGCCAATATATATATATATATATATATATATATATATATGTGACTAGGAGCATGAACTTGTCCTGCCATGACTTCCTGTTCCAAAGGATTATAAATATGAGGAACATAAATGCCAAATTCCCTTAATCATACATCACACGGAGTAAAACCAAAGAATATAGTTCTGATGTGCAGGACAAGATTGTTGAGCTTCACAAAATACAAAGTAGCTGTAAGAAAATAGTTGAAAGCATTGAAAATCCCAATTTCCACCATCAGGGAAATAATTAATCAACTAAAGATGTTACAAATCTGCCTGGAAGAGGACGTGTGTCTATAACGTCCTAATGCATGGTGAGGAGGAGAGTTTGAGTGGCCAATATATATATATATATATATATATATATATATATGTATATATATATAGTTCAGTCATGAAACTCTAGATGGCGCATTCTGACGGGGTGTTAACGTAACTGATGATATTCAGTGAGTTAAACGACTTGGCACAAGCTGATTGGTTCATGCTGCAGCCAATGAGCTTACTGCCTTGCATTTATATGGCTGGCTAGCATTCACTTGAGATTCCTGCAACACGCTTTCAGAGTTCTCTGAAACCCTCCACCTTCCCCAGCTCCACCTGTATAGATCTGCTACGGGGTTATTTTATATGCTATTTGTGCAGCAGCAGTATGTCTTAAATACTCATGGCACCGTATCGCCATATGCATTGGCAGTAACAAGTTCCTGTACTTGCTTGCAGCAGCAGCAATAATCTACAACTACAGCAACAACCAATGGCAGCAGCAATTCAACAACAGCGTAGCAGATCTGTTCCGCCAAGACCAAATACATTAACATTGTCATACCCATCACCATGCTAAAATGTTCCGAGAGTTGTCATGATTGAAATATATACAACAGCCCCTACATCACCACATGTTGCTCGGGAGGATTTCAAGGAAAGTCCTCTTCTCTCATCAAAAAACCAACTCCAGCATATTCAGTTGTCAGACTGGAACTTCAAATGTGACTGGCTTCTATGGTCAGAAGAAACTAAAAATTAGCTTTTTTTGCAGCAAACACACCAGATGGGTTTGGTGCAAACAGGGATAAAAAGCCCATGTCCACAGTTAAATATACTGCTGGATCTTCAATGTTGTGGGCCTATGTTTCTGCCAGAGGTCCTGGACATCTTGTTCAGATACATGGCATCATGAATTCTATCAAATAGCAACAGATAAAAAAAATAAACCTGACTGCCTCTGTTAGAAATCGTATAATGAACCATGGTTGGATCTTCCATCAGGACAATGATCCAAAACTAACATCAGAATCAACACAAAAATGTGTCACTGAGCACAAAATAAAGCTTCTGCCATGGCCATCCCAGTTCCCTGACCTGAACCCTATAGAAAATGAGTGGGGTAAACTAAAGAGAAGAAGCACCAACATGGAGCTGGGAATCTGAAGGATCTGGGGTGATTCTGTTTGAAGGAATGGTCTCTGATCTCTTGTCAGGTGTTCTAAAACAACATATAGATGCTGTGAACGAGATCGGTCCACTGGTTAGTCAATTTATCCCGTCTCATAGCGCAAAGTTACATGACTTTCTCAATGCGCATGGTGGAATTTATTCGGTAAATGTGTTTCCATCGTAGTTTATGCAAATGTTTTCTTATCGTATAAACAGTTTATGCTACTCAGTTGTGCGCATAAGTTTTTTATGCTCATTTTAGAATGTATGCGCATCTTGGCATTTCCATCCAGTAGTTTTTTTATGTGATAATCTAAAATGCGCATAAAAATAGGTGGATGAAAACATAGCTATTGATTATGTTAGATTTAATTAGACCTAAATTTTATCTAACCTTTGTGGTCAGTGCATGGTTGACATACCTTTGGCAATCTCTGTAATGCTGAGTGTGTGTTTGTGTTGGTTTGAGGGGTGATATGCTTTAGAGGTTTGGGGGTTTTCAGGTAAAGCTCTTGGTAGGAACCAGAGAGGCAAAGCAGCAAGAAGAGTCAACAGCCCAGAAACCATATAACCCAGCCACCAGGCCCCAACCCAGCGAGAGTCCTGAGGGGTGATGGTCACACTCTCTGATAATGAGAAGAAAATATTCAAATAAACAACATCTCTGTTATATATATTACACCTGTATCCAATCACACCTGCTATCAGTTAGTGTCAGATCTCTGATTAAAGAACACATGAACCTCTCTGCTCTTAGTAGAGTTACTTACCTCCTGTTCATCTCAGACTTCCTTCTTTGAAAAATACTCTTTATCTTCATTTGTTGTCTCCATGTGTGGCTCCCATACTGGTTGTCCTTAAATTCCATATGTTCTTTCAGGTTAAACTCTTTTGTTATCATACATACCTGTTCACTGTCCATAACTTGCAATCAAGTAATACACCCAACTGCACTTGAGTTTACCATCAAACTGTGTGCGGTGTCTACCTGAAAGAAGACCAAGCCTTTTTCATTAACCCAGCGGGATTTTAAAAATACATTTCCTCCATCTCAACGACAGATAGAGACCTGATCTTCGTCCTGGCCATCTCTTTCTCTGAGACCAATCATCCTTCCTTCTGTTCTGCCAGTGAGGTCTTCCCTAAGTCCCTTTTTCTAATCATACAGTAGATGCCACTCGTGGGCTATTCTTTCTGGTAACAGGAGGTTCCATTGAACCGTTTGTTTCGGCCACAAAGACCTAACCTGAATGCTCCTTCACTATTCCACCAGCTCCTCCATGGCGTTTTTATCCATCAACTCCTCAAGGGTCCTTCTTTTCATTGGCTCTCTTTGGGTCACTCTTCCCTCTGGTTTCACCTGGTTTCCTCCTTTGCACTGGTTCCATCCAGACTCCTAGTCCCACCAGCTCCACAATGGCCTCTTGTGTTCAACTTCCCTAATTCAGTTTCTGCTGACTCCCCAGGGAATCCTTTTTTCCCAGAGCTACCAGAGCAGTCTACTCTCCTGTTCAAATTCTACCAAGTCTCCTCTTCCATTGCCCACTCAGCCAAATTCTTTGAATCCTCCTATTCAGATTGTCTATTCTGATTTGATTGCTCCACTGGGCATTCCTAAGACAAATGCTCCACTGGCTCCCCTGAGGCCTCTTGCTCTATCAGCTCCCCATGGTCTTCTGTTCCACCATGGTGGTCTCCTGGTCCACTGTGATGGTCCCCTGCTCCATCAGCTCTGCCATGCTGGTTTCCTGCTCCACTGGCACAAAACAGTGTGGTCCCCTGGTCCAGAGCCAACCGAACCTCTGACCCTACCCTGGTCCATTGCTATATTCATATACCATGGTATTTACATGGTACACACATCTCTGCTCACCCATTTCACAGCTGCCATCGATGATACCAACTGTGGAGCTTGGGATCTCAAACCACCTCTCAATTTGAGTGATTGTGCTTTTGGTGTAAGCCCCCGTTAGGGATTTTGTAAAATAACAGAAGGCAAGTAAACCAATAAAGATCTTTGCAGACACAAGGGCAGAAGAGAGATTAAGTCAGTATATTATAGTTTTGTTGTTGTTGTTTTTAGTTCAGAATTTATCATATTTTATGTCAGAAATATTCAGCTATAGCCATTCCATCATTAAAACAAATTATCAGCTAATAGTAATTCAGTTAAACTTAGATTGTGGCATATTGTCAAAGTGTCTCTTGCCTTCAGAGTTGGGGAACAGCATTTGGCTTGTGGTGTTGTCTGATTCCAGCCTGAATATTCCATTGGTCTGGGCTCAATTAACCTGTCTGGGCTGCCCTCCACTGTCATGATGAACTACGGGCCAGGGAAGAGATGGGAAATTTTGAAATCACGAAAGATTTTGTTCCTGTGTTGAACTGCCTTGATGTCTAATATATCTGGGTGCAGAATCAAATCTATTTTAAAAAAAGAACATTGCTATACTGATTTATGAATAAAGCAAAAATAAATAAATCTATTCACTTCTATCATGTCAGAGATGGTCCAAATTCACAATACATTGCAATCAAATGCAAATAAACATTAAAATATCATTATTTAACAATATAAAAACACTCACAGGTCCAGAGGTGTGTACACATAGAAATGATGCACTAATATGCAGAAATATCCCCAAATGAGTGATCTCTAAATGTGTCTTTATATTTACCTTTATATTTAGTCATTAACTAACACTGAGTAATCCTTCAAGCCTATTGAATATCAACCAGTACAGTACAGTTTGTAATGTGTCCATTTTTTTATCAGTGTTTATATGGCAAAACTTATCAAACACTAGAAATTTCAAAGAGAAAATTTAAATAAGATGAGCCATTAACAGCATTTAACAAACACCAACCAACAAGAAAACAAAGTGACACCAACCAGCACATATCTGCTTATTTATGGTGCAATATGTGTGCTGGCAGTCTATCTGTTTTTAGTAGTTACAGTGGGGCAAAAAAGTATTTAGTCAGCCACCAATTGTGCAAGTTCTCCCACTTAAAAAGATGAGAGAGGCCTGTAATTTTCATCATAGGTATACCTCAACTATGAGAGACAAAATGAGAAAAATAAATCCAGAAAATCACATTGTAGGATTTTTAAAGATTTAATTGGTAAATTCCTCGGTAAAATAAGTATTATGGCAGAAGTGCACCAATAGGTGGCGGAAGGTTGGTTTAAATAAAACATCACCAGAAGAAGACAACGAACTGAACTTCAGAGTCAGATCGTGTTTGAAATGTGGCTGCAAGATTAGGTAAGTTTTTGGTGATCTACTTTTAAACTATATTGTCACAGTGTGTGCTATTGTTTTTGAGGAAAAGAAAA